CGAGTATCGAGCTCGTTGCGACGGTACCCTCCCCCGCGTGCGGCGAAGCGTGCGCCCCCACCCGATCGATTCGGGAAACCTTGGGGCGAAGAACGGCCCTCGCCGACCGACTGCCGGAGGAGGTTGCGCGCCTCGGGCGCGTCTCCATCTGGTAGCGGTAGTTCCTGTACGCCGTGAACATACGTTGTTCCGGCGACAGGAAAGGGCAGGCGTACATGGCGTGCCCGTACGTACGGCACGGCCAGCAGACGTGTGCACTGCCGTCCGTTGAGGCAAAGGCCGCTGCGTGCCGCGCCTCCTCATCAGTGAGGAGGGGCACTTGAGGCGCTGCGCCCCCTGCAACTCTGCTCGATATGTCGAGCTCTGCGACACGAGGGTCCGTGCCCCTTGCCACTCTTGGAGTGTGCGCGAAGGCGGTTGCGTAAGTTGATGCCGCACAAAGTAGTGCGCGAGGGACTGTTCGGAGAACACTTCCATGCACCGGAACGCGGCCGTTTCCAGCCGGTACGCAAATGTGTTCTCTGTCTCGTGCGGTTGTTGCCTCGCCGTAGCGACGTCGTCGTACGCTTCACCTAACACGTTACGTCGTCGTCGAGCTGGCCCATGCGGAGACCAAGCATCGTATAACTCGTATACGGGCGCTCCGCGTCGCGCTCTAGGAAGTTCGCGAGGGCTAGTACCGCAACACCTTCGGTAAGGTGTTGCGAGTTGAAGTTTATCCGGATATCCTTCAAGAACGGCAGCAGCTCGATCGGGTCGGTACCGTCGAAGCTACGCATCGTGGGACAGATCCCACGACAGCGTTGTAAGTACTTCGCGATCCGTCCCGCGTCACCCGAGGTGACGAGCCTCGAGGTGTTCCAGCCTGGCACTAAAACAACCGGCGCTCTTTCCTCATTGAGGGGCACGGTCGAACAGACCGAGTTTAGGACATTCAAGGCACCACATCACAGATAATTATTGCCCAAAAGATCGGACGCGATCCCATAAATCTGTGACTTTTTATCCACGTTTGTATCATTAAGGCGTGCCACGTCATCAAAAAACGATGACCATATCAATGTGCAGCTCCTCTCTACAGTGCTTCCCCCGACACATGGAAAGTGCGGAAAAGAGGCGGGACTTTCCAAAAATTGGGAGTTTTGAAGTTGCCTCAAATGTAAACGGAGGACTTCTTTGCCATAAATTGGAAGGTCCTGTCGATTGGGCAGATTTGTTTTTATATCTAACCATATGTTTATCAGGATGGGCATTTGTATGGTTCATTACAAGGCAAGAATCCTCCTTTGGCCCGTACAGTGTATATATTTGTAACCTTTTTTGGTGTCCCGACAGTTGTGGTGTGGTCAAAAAGTTATGGGCACCCCCCTTTACGTCATCTCGCAGCCTCGCTGCTCCGTAGTACTTCATACGCCACCGTGAGACTCTTGCTGGCAGGCTGGCACCAGCCCCCCTCTCCTGGCTAAATTATTGTGTATTTCTCTTGCCCGCCTAGCCCCGGCTTCGCCGCCATCTCGGAAGTTTCCTTTCTCATCATGTCTTTTTCTCTTTATGTTTTCTTTATGTTTTCTTTATGTTTTCTTTATGTTTTCCAGTTCGGTTTAATTGTTTGCGTAGCCTTTGTGTGTCCCCTCTTAGCCGATGTCTCGTGACCGACTGGAACCAAAAAACTACGAATATCCTCATAGGAACAGTAGTCATTGAATAAAGCATACACATAGGTGATGAAAATGGGTGGCTGTTGACAGCCACCTATTTTACTCGTGACATCACGAGTACGACGCTGTCAACAGCGTTCACGAGTACAACGCTGTTGACCGCGTCATAAAGTTACTCGTGACATCAAGAAAACCCCAGCACGTCGCGTGGCGGTCTTTACAGCGATGTACAGTACTGTTGTAGGATTATTGCGTCTTGTCCCTAGCGCTTTCCACTGAAATACTTTTACAAATTTGCGCTATATTTTAGAGCACTGGTTGTCTTTTTCCTTAGACACTCATGTGAGTTGTGAACAACTGAAACGCCTTTGTTGTCCCTCAATGCAATTAAGGGCTCACCATTTAGCACTCGCAGTCTGCACGTCCTTCTGTACGTCCGTCTGCAACGATCATACTGCGATTACATATATTTTCATTAAAAGAGACCACGAGACCTGCGTTCGCCCAATTGGTATCATGTGCGCTGGTTCAGATTGCATCACTCCGTGTACGGTCAATTCGATTGATATACAGTACTTTCATGCAGTGCCCACTCCCAGAAACATCATTTCACATCATTTAATCATTGATATTTGAAATTTCGTAACATGGATCTGTACCCTTCAGTAGATTTGCTTGTACAGTACCCAAGGGTGCTACAGTATACAAGCCACGGCCCTTACCCTTGGTAGGCCCTAAGGGCCGTTCCTAACGACTACTGGACTGCATGTCGCGTCTTAAATAACTGGCACTCTTGGAGCAGCCAAGGTAACAGGAAGGGTAGTACTGTATCTTACTCAATGAAGGGCCTCCGGATTGCAGGAATCGGGCAATAAAGCTCCTTTCAGAGCCCCTCCCAACCACTAAACAAAGTTTCATTTGAGTAGAGAATAGAAATGCACTGCCGTGTGGTAGAACTAAGTTCGAAGTGGAGGTTTCTCACGTAGAAAATGCGGAATCTTCAATGACGTGGAGAGAGAGACCGAGGTCGGTGGGAAAGTGATCTCTTTTGCAAAATGGGGACATTACACATTCGGCGGCCAGGAGCAAAAACTAGGCAACGACAGCAATGGAATCTTTCGCACCTTTTTGAAGAGCAAGCATGGATAATATTCTTGGCTGTGTTCTGTAATACATATAATCGAGGTAACTGTTCGGTCCCTAATTCGTATTTTTTCTGTTTCCGAAACTAAGCGCAATAGATTTAAACAAAACATATCATTTCTTTAACGATTTGGACACTTTAGAGTCACTTTAGAGTCGAGCGCATCTTCCAACGAAAGCGCATCTGTGGCATCAACAGTCGACTTTGGACATAGGCGCGTGCTCTGTGACAACACGTCAACTAAAAACATTGAAATGGAGCCTGTTTAAATATATTTTCCTAATTCGTAATTCTGGCGCATTCAACAGAAAGCGACGTAGCCCATCAATCAGATCTCAAATGCACGCCTCACAACCCTCATCTTTGCACTTTGTCTACGAATCCTCCTTTTGTCAGAAAAAATCCGGGCTCGAGCTAACCGTTTTGGGGCGAGAGCTCACAACCTATGCATTTCGGAGGCCGTCTCCTTCCCACAGTTAGAAGTTTATGTAGTTCTATTCCATTTTTCTGGTCTGCACCATGCAGTCCATCCCCGAGTGGCTATGTGGCGCCGTTTTTGATGGCGCGAAATGGGTTTTGCATACTCGGAGAGGAGCTTTGGTTTGCACTATTTCACGCGAAGGAGGCGGGAGAAGTTAATATGTTCCGCAATTTTATCGGAATTCTGAAGACGGGTTAGGAAAATAGTACGAATTTGGGACCGAACGGTTACTTGTACAGAGTAAACCCTCGTTAAAGTGACCCCACGATATAGTGATTCCCTCGCTATAGTGCACTTTCGGGCAGAATTGCCCGCCACATATGCCCATATGGGCCAGAATCGAAGGTTTCCCTCGATCGTAGTGTACCCATACTATACAGTGGAACCCTCGGTAGAGTGCACTTTGGAGCCCAGTGAAGCCTTAAGATTTGTATAATTTTGGTTACTTTCGGTATGGTTCGTTGTAGGCAGCACTGCGCCTCTCATACAGCCTGTCTGCTGGGCAAAAGAAGGCCGAGTCCATCGTACCTGGCCCCCTCAAGATGGGCTGATTTCGTGAGTGTAAGCAGGCTTTACAGTGGCTTACACTAAAAGGTACAGTGTATCCTCGTTAATGTGTACTTTGCCCCTCCTCCGCACCCGCCACAAATGGGGTCAGTATAACGAGGGTTTACTCTGTAGCACAATGGGCGCCTCCGGAAATTGTTTTTTGTGTCAGAGTCATATTTTTCTTTTTTGTGAACAAAAAGTGAGTTTTACCACGGAAATGCTTGCGCACATAATGTGCGTCCCCCTACTGTACGCATGCTTTGAACTCGTTCCTAACGACGAGCACGGCACCGGACGCCGGCGATGACGCCGTCGGAGCTCTATCTACAGTGTGTGCTGTGAGCTAAGCTCAATCATGATGGTGTTTTCACCGAGCAGCCACCGTCAGAACCATGAATGACCAAATGGCTATTCTATTGCTACTTCTCATTCAGAGCCATGCTCGGTAGGATGTAGATGTCGAGTCTCGTCGGTCGGGCGGCGGCCGACGCTTTCTCTGTGTACAGTAAATTTGGATTGTACGCGCGCACATTTTGACATTTGTGCGATACACATTTAACCTAGCATGGGGTCGCCCGTCCGAGAAAACGGCGCGTTGTGTGTGCACAACGCGCCGTTTGTGTGTCACAAAATCCCGATTTGGTCAACACAATTTGCGATTTTAGAATTTCAGGAGTCGCCCAATATCAGGGCAACACTGTTTCCTGGCAACGCATTATACCAGAGTCTCGAAACAGCCTAGATTGGCTCCAAGTGGCAGATGTGGCTTCAAAAGGGAATCCCCTTCCTGCTCAACAGTACAAACAAGCAAATCGGCATAGTTGCTGACAAAAACATATTATTTATTAAGAGTCGTTCTAAGTCAAAACGTTTTGTAGACATTACGTTACAAGAGAAATCATACTATGCACCGCAAGAGTGAACGTGTCCACCAGGACTTCATCTTCAGTCTTTTTCGCTTGTATCGCTGATTCATTAAAGATAAGAGGCAGCAACTCTGCTAACAGTGCCGGCGATTTTACGATAGTTCATCGTGGCGCTTTTCTCGAACACCTGAGTAAAAAGGGGCCTCGTTGAAAAGCCGAGATGTGTATAAATAACTGCACGGAAAAATGGAGACTTTGAAATTCGCTGCTCATCAAGCACTTGTTCAACCGGACAATCTGAGATGGCTCTCTTGTACTCTTTGGGTGTCTCACTGGCTCTTGTGGCCGTCATTTCAGCTGCTGCGTCGCCAGGAAAGGGCGCAAAAAAGGGCATTTCGTCTCTTTTCAAAAAGAAGACAAATCCCTACACTGTTCGGAGAGCATTCATTGATCCCGTGTACAAGAAGCAGGTAAACTCTTCCATCGCCTCGGCGAGTGCTGGCGAACGTGCTGCTCTCACGGAGCTCCTCACAACTCCAACCGCCGTCTGGTTATCAACGAAAGCTGATGTACAAAGAAACAGGAAAAGTAGAATAGCGAAGGCCCTCAAACAGGCCAGCAGATGGAAGAATCCGCCAATGGTGACGTTGATCGTGTACAACCTCCCCAACCGCGATTGCGCCGCCGAGTCAAGCGCAGGGGAATTTTGCTGCAGCCCCAACAAAAATGGCACGTGCAACTTTCTAGACGGATCGACTATGTGCGAGGATGGGTTGAGGAGATACCAAAACGAGTACATTAAACCACTTCTAAAGTTTGTCAGGGAATATCGGAAAATAGTGCCGATGTCGTTCGTGGTTGAACCAGACAGTCTGCCCAACCTAGTCACCAACTTAGAGAACCCGAAGTGTGGAAATAAGGCGACAAATTCGTCGTATATGAACGGGATTAAGTTTGCCGTCAATTCGCTTTCCGAGGCTTGCCCCCACTGCCCACTTTATTTGGACGCAGCGCATGGAGGGTGGCTTGGGTGGGAGGATTCAAGCGTTGGGTTTGTCAAGCTTTTAAAGAAGCTGCGCATTGTCAGGAAGCTCAGAGGTTTTGCTATCAACGTGTCAAATTATCAAGAAATGGGGGTTATATGCCCGGAAGTGGGCTTCTGCCTTGACGGGGCGAATCCGGATCATGAGTGTTGCAAAATCGATTCCTGTGGGCTGCTTGAGAAATTTAACCCTGGGCATACAATTCTGAACTACGCGATGTCGTTGAAATCGTATGTAGAATCGGCAATTGACGGGTACGAGCCAAAGTTTATAGTGGATACTTCCCGCAATGGAGCTGGGGATGCAAGGGAGGACTGTTCGGTTTGGTGCAACGTAAGAAGCGCTGCATTAGGAGAGCCGTTCACGACAGAGACGGCGAACAAGACCGTGTTTGATGCGTATCTGTATATCAAGCCGCCGGGGGAGAGTGATGGATGCACTGAGATTTTGCCCGAGGGAGGCAAGTGTCCGAGGTTTGATTCGGTTTGTGCGTCAGACGACAGCGTGGGTAGCAAACGTGGAGAACCTAGGGCCCCGGAGGCTGGGGATTGGTTTGACTATATGATTAAGGGAATCGCTACGAACTAAGTGCATTACGCAAAGCAACTTCGAGTGTTGGGGGGAGTTTTGCGAGAGGAGCTAGGGTACAGTTTTGTACATATGGCAGCGCTTCAAGCGATTAGGTTTTAAGAATTAAGATAGGATTCATGATCATGATTCATTGATCCCTTACACACCGTAAACGAGATACATGCATCGCCCTATATACTATAAAAGTGCAAATGCATCAAAGATTATAGTAACTTCCTTCTTTTTTGCACATTCTCCTATACTATTTCTTCTGGTGTTTTACACGTACTGTACCTTTCTGCAGTATCTGTTTCTGTGCCGAAATTCGTACAGCCATAAAAGTCCGAGGAAGTCAGATGAATAAATAGCCAGCCCATCGGAGGGTATGAAACTGTAATAGGAAAGACAAATTGTGGACGAATTCATGTAGAAAACCTTGCCAACAAGCAGGACGGTAATACTCTTGAGAGGGGACCTCTTGAAAACACCATACACGGCAGAACCCCCTATAGTGCTCTCATAAATAGTGCCACCTTGAAAATAGTGTTTCTCTTTCCGTAGGGGCTCGAAAGTTGGCCCTTGTACCCACATTTCAACAAGAGAAGGGCCAACGGCCCTACTGTGCTTTCGCTCTTATCTGAAATTCATTTGTAAAAGAGCCACTTTATCCTGGTACGGTTCCGAATGTTAAAGCATGCGGACATGTACGCCGTCAGGATGAGGGTTTCGGACGTTGATGGAGAGAGCGTTGTGTTGCCGCAAGGTAATAGAGAGGTAGGAGCGTAGGATATGTTAAGCCGTGGAGACAGTAGAACACCTCTGTGTAGCAAATGATCGGGGTTGTTGTTGCAAAACGGCCAGTGCCTCAGAGGTTATAACACCGGATGTGTTCAATGATAAAACGTAAAGGGTTATAGAATTATTCATGAGACGAGAGCCGTAGGAGCGGTGTTTAGCAGCTTCCATACGCGGTCCCTGTGACTACCCCAATCGACTCTATTAAAACCGCAGTGCATACGGTTCGGTGCATCGCTCTACTGTAGTCCGAAGCATACTTGCGGGAGATCTCTTTGAGCGGACCAAAAAGTCCCCGCAACGCTCGGAGGAGCGCTGCTCGAGGGAGAATCTGCTGAGGCCGAAGTGAAAGCGTGACAGGCATCAAGCACGTTTGTCGAGCTGGCCTTGGTGCCGAAAGACGGGGGAGGAATGGAAAACAGTATGATGCTCAATACAATGTTACCGTATGGTACTAAATAGAAATTTCCATATTGCGATAAAGGCAGTCGAGTGACAACCACGGATTTCAAACCGTCGAAGAAATAAGTGGTGACATCCTGTGGTGTATTCTGCACTGTAGTGCCCAGCGGCGCTACTAAGCGCGTACGTTGTACAGTGTACAGTATGACACGGCGGCTGAATGCTGCTGTGCGTGAGAGAAGGTAAGGCAGATTATAAAATTGGTATGCCAGTCTCGTCACAGGCACGCGTTGTTGGAGAGAGGAGAGCCTGAGAAGGCGTGCAGAGGGCTGGCGAGCGTGATGGCCCCCTTCCCTCTTCGGCTCGATATTCACCACAACATATGCGCATGAGTCGCTCCCGAGCAGCTGCGCACGCCCGGCAGCGTGCCCAGCGACTCAGCAGCGGCACCCCCCCCCCCCCCCCCCCCCCTCCCCCCCCCGTTAACGGGCCCCCTTGCTGCAGGAGGGGTGATATATACGCGCGACTCGCTGGGAAGAAGCTCTGCCATTCCCTTCCGCCTAGGGTTTTGTCACGTAGATAAGCCCTGACAGCCGGGCCAGCCCCCGTACCTTCTCCTGCAAACTTACACCATCCGCACATCCACTAAAATTGCTCCCCACTCCGCGCCGTGCTCGCCTTCCAGGATTCCACCCCCCCCGGACCAATCTTCCGCCTCCTCGCTCCTACCAGTGTAATGCAATCGGTCCTCCGCGCGACAAGTGTCCGCCCTGTACCTTCTGCGCAAAGTGCATACCCAACAGATTCGGTTAAAAAATCTCGCCCTCGCGCATCGCGACTTTCGCATCTCCCTCTTCATCAGTCCAACTCGACTCGCGAGCTGCACACACGTCACACCTCCCGCAGCTCCGAGCGAGTCGTCCCCCTCCCCTTCCCCTTCTTCTTCCCCCCATCCCCCTTCCCGCCCCCTCGCCGAACAATGCCCCCACCCCGATGGACGCCTTCCCGCCCCCCTCTGATACACTCTCCGCCCTGGAAGCGATTGCTGACGCCACCTTACTTTTCGATAACCACGCCCACCCATTTCATCTCCCTAACCCCAAAACTCATCTACCTCGCCTCCGTGCCCTTCTAACCGAAGCCGCTCCCCCACACCCGTCTTCCACACTCGCTTTCTACCGCTCCCTCCGCGATATCTATCGCCTTCTTGCCGCAGAATCGCCTCCTTCCAGCTCCAGCTCTACAAGAGACACTTCTTCCATCGGCTATCCAAATGAAGCGCCTCCGCAAGTTGCACACCCGCACGCCCCTGACACGCAGTCAGAGACGGAGACCATTGTCGAGGAGACCCGAGCTCGCATCGGCGTCTGGCCACTCGCCGAGCGCTGCTTTTCCGCAGCGGGCATCGCTGCTGTCTTGCTAGATGATGGCTTACATGTCCCTCGCGGCGTGCGTGCTGTATCTTTGGAAGAAGTCACAACAAGGCTCAACATCCCCGTGGCGAAGCGCGTGCTGCGCATAGAGAAGGAGGCCGAGCTAGCTCTAGCTGACGTCATACGGGAGAATGAATACCAGGCGTGGAGCCGTGCGCCGCGAGAGCCGCCGTCACACACGGGGACGGAAAAGCGTCCGCGGAACGCGATGCGCGCGAGACAATTTCGGGCTGCGCTGACTGCGCGACTATGCCCGCTGCCGGAGGGGGTAGTCGCGCTGAAGAGTATAGCAGCATATAGAGGAGGCCTGGACTTGGACTTGGAAGGGGGCGATGAGGAGCTGGAGGAGGCATTGGCAGGGGTAAGGGGAGAGAGGATTGAGGACCGAGTGATTGTGGCGTGCGTGGTGAGGATGGGCTTGGAGGTAGCGAGGCAGTACAAAGTACCTTTACAGATCCACTGTGGATTTGGCGACACGGATTTAGACTTGGGGAGGGCCAATCCGGTGTTGTTGAAGAGCGTAGTAGAGCGATATCCGGACGTGGATATTGTTTTATTGCATGCAGCATGGCCGTATACGAGGGAGGCGGCGCACATGGCAGCGGTTCATCCAGGAGTTTACTTAGATCTGGGGTTGGCGATTCCATTGCTGTCAGTGAGGGGAATGTTTCGGGCGGTGGATGCGGCCCTAGAGATTGCACCGGTGGCGAAGCTTTTGTACTCTTCGGATGCGCATTCAGCGCCGGACGTGTTCTATCTCGCCGCGAGATGGGGGCGACGTGTTATTGCGGCGGCTGTAGCGGCGGCTGTAACCAGTGGAGACTTGGACTTGTCGGAGGCGAAGTCGGCGATTCGAATGATCCTCGCAGAGAATGCTGTACGATTGTACCGCCTGCCCGTCACGGTGTGACATGGGACTTACACGTGGCTATGAAACAAGTCCTGCACACGTGTATGAAGAGCGGCAGGCGATGCTGCTCGGTTTGGGCGAAGAACGCGACTCGCACTCTTAAACGATGTTCGTACAGGCACCTGTGCCCTGCCGAAGTTGCAAAGCAAAGCAATCACCCTGACCGTCTTTCTTTCCTTCTGTTCTTTTTCCTCTGGTTCCGACGCACTGACCTCTCGGTTTCTCAGATCAACACTGTTTGACAAATGCAGGGTACGTGAATGCTGGTTAATCGTTTTCAACACAACCCGTTTCTTTTTCGTGAAATAAAATCCTGTCATAAACCTTGCATCCACAGAGGAACAAATGGACTTCTCACTCGGCACTCCATTCTTCCCGGATGAAAGTCAGTATAGTGAGCCTCAGTGACTACTCTAGGCTCTGGCTACTCGAAAACCACACTCGATTGAAGCGGAGCCGTTGCAACAATAGAAGTCAAATTGTCAGGTATGAGTCACAACCGCTACACATGGCCGGGATCCTCTTTGGAAGCCGCCGTATAATGATGTGCAGAAACTTTAGAGCGATATCATTGTTTAAGTTACAATGAGCCAGAGCTATTAACTGTCGCCTTCGGTGCTCCACGTAGCCGCAGTTCTCTGCCTCAGAGATACTCCCTAGTGGCATTACTGTAGACACATGCAGTGGCTCAAGCCCTTGGATGATGAAAGCCTTCATTTTGGCCGACCACATCCGATTTTCCGAAATCATAACAGAACAGGTCTTTCAGCTCTAAATCATTCTTTTGTCGACTCCGATTTTGGCCTTTGATCCTCATTGGTTCTGGAGCCCGATGCAGTATTCATCGAGGCTATGCTGGGAGTCAGGGCTCCAACGAACGTACTGTCGCCTTGAGAACTCTGAGCCGCGTCACTGGAAACTAAGCGGAAATGAGGGGACCCATAGGCTGTGCCGTAGTTTGGCAGTGACGGAAGTCCTCTGGGAAGAGACGGCAGAGGGCTGCCGCTTGGGGGACTGCCGCTTGGGGGACTGCGACATGGATGACGAATTGAGCTGCCGGAACCAAGATATCCTACTGCTTCGAAACTTGCTGAAAGAATCCCAGACTCGATTATTTTCTCCATCGTCGATGACTTCCTCAACGGCCTAGCTTTCGGCGATGCTAGGTTTGAATCAATCGATGTTGTTCTTCCTAGATATGACCGCAGTGATGAATTCGACCAATCGCGAACGATGGGATACCCATGTTCGATTTGCATCCCGGTGCCGTTGTGCCGGTGATGGCTCATGAACGACGTGGATGTTGATAGTGGTGACACTGGGACGTCCTTTCCAATTGCGAGATGTTCGCTTTGGCTGCTTCGAAGCCGCTCGTGAACAGGTGATGATATCGGCGCAAAATCAGCACTTGGGAAGTCGCCAAATTTAACTAGTTGGGGATGACTGCTCTTCGGAGACACCTTTGCAGATGTCCCAGCACTGCGGTATCCGCCAATGCGTTGACGGATTTCGTCTTCCGCTGCTTCCAGTTCCTCTATGCCATGATACGTTCCAGTCATACTTGGGGTTTCCTGTTCTTCGTTCAACGTTTTGAATCCTTCTAGACTCCCTCCTAGCGTCATCCTGGTGACATTGAAAACAAAAAAATTAGCAAGGCAAGCAACGCCCGCAATCAGGAATGGCCTTTCATATGAACCATACTTTGACCTCAGGACTCCGGTAAGCACGGAGCCGACAGCATTTCCAGCTAGCCCCAGACCAAACAAGGTGCTTTGCGTCTGGCCGAGGTTCTGCTTTCCAAAAACAATTGGTGTAAGTGCATACAGACAGTTAAAGGTCGCGCCGTATCCGAACCCGAAGAGAACTGTAAATGTGAGCATGGCAACCGGATGTGTCGTTAAAGAAGGAACCTTGTCCTCGTCAAGCCCCGGGGTATCCAGAAACAAGAACATTGTACCGACAGCGGCTATTCCACTGGACGCCGAAGCGACATGGAATCGATCGAAATGATCACCGAGATGGCCGCCAACCAGCTTGGCTGTGAAGGCGGCCAAATTAAGCGCGCTGAAAAAGAGGGAGGCGACACCGAGTGACATGCCGCGGTCGATAGTGAGGAAGAACATGACGTTTTCGCCAAAACAACCAAAGCAATACTGCAGAAGGATGTAGGAAAAGGCGAAACCGACAAAGGTCCAGGACCTCTGATCAGTCATGCCCGTGTCTGGCAGTCCGTATGAGACATTCTCATGGCCCTCTTCTGGTAGTAAACGTGACGTTTCGCTTTGCGCGCTGACCGAGTCGACGAGGGGTTGCGCATCCTCTGGGTCGATTTGCTGTTTGGATGTGCCGTACTCGTGGAGGAAGAAGTAGCTGACGGGCAAGCCGACAAACCACAGCAAGGAGCACATGCAACCCATCGCAACCCGCCAGCCGCACGCGCTCGCGATAGGTCCGAGAAGCGGTGGCACGAGGGTACCCCCCGCGGAGTATCCCGCGAGCACCAAGCCCATTGCTAGGCCGATACCACCTTCGAACCACTGGGCAATGAATATAGAATAAACAGGCACGCCGCTAACGCTAGCAACTGCTGCGAGTAAGATGTGACTAACAAGAAGACTCCAAAACGAAGCAACGAACAAGGAATACATGGTCATGATAAGCGCCAAGCCGAAAATGCCTGCAAGAACGCAGCGGCGCGGACCGTAGTGGTCGACCATGATACCGCCCGGGATAAGAAGCAGGACGTAGGCGACTTTGCCTACAGCAATCGGGACAGTGGAGAGGGAGAGGGAAATGCCGAAGTCGGCGACGATAAGAGGCATGAGTGTGGTAGGGGTGAAGAAGAAGCTGCCAGACTGAATGGCGTTCATGAGCGCAGCGGTGAAGGCGATTGACCAGCGCTTTTGTGCCGTCGCGCTTTGGGGAAGGTCAGGGAATGTGTCGAGGGCCATACCTGGGGGCTGGGCATGGACAAGGTGATGGGGACAGATACGGATTCTGGAAACTACCGCCGTTGACGGAAGGGAGGGAGGAAGAAAAGAAGCTGAGATGTCCCATGCAATGATGAGCACACTAAGTAGAGTGAACTTGATTGTACCTCACGACTTGACTTCACACTCTGCCGAAGTCAGCAGTGTTGCATGAATTCGTAAACATGCTCTGAGGGCCTCAGGTCAGGGCGCGCTTCATGGTTCCACGTGTACGTGTGTTAAATAGCACCTCGGCTAATGCTCATGCTCATTCTTCCACTACAGTGTACTGTACTGCCTCCCACGAGATGCACACGTGAAACAAGTCGCATGCCTCAGCAAAAGCCAAGGCCTAATACCGGGGCGACCCGATTGTTGGAAGAAACGCATAAAGTCCCTTCCTAACCAGCCCTAGTGTCTAGGTGACAAATGACCTCATATGTGAGGCCATTTGACCTCATATGAGGTCACTTTTCAATTATTTTTTCTCTACTTGCGCTAGCTCAACAAGATGGAAAAAGATACTCTCGCCACCGCAGTTGACTTCTGCGTTGCGGAAGGGCGGAGTTTGGTGAGATCTGCACGTCTTTTCCAGCCATTTTTAAAATGCCCAAAAAAGGAGCCTTTTTGACCAACCTCAAAACGTTTTATGTTGATTTCTTCGAAACCAAAACGCCTGTTTAAAAAGCCAACTCATCATTGAAACTTCATTAAATTCTTAGTCTCTCTGTGCATTGGGAACTGCCATCCCAATGTTTTGCAAGATGTTAATGCCGAGGGCAAAAACGTTAAAGAAATGGTGTCCAAACTGACTTTTTAAAGTTTCGATTTAATTTATATATATATTTGCAAAAAAACTGGCCTCTATCCCTAGTATTGCTATGGTTCCATATATGAAACCATAACAGGTTTTCAAAAAAACAACAAAAGCCCTACGGTTCCATATATGGAACCATAGAGCTGGATAAAGCCTGACTTGGCGCACCGATAGCGCTGTATACGCACATACGTTTTCTTTTTCTGAACCCTCCAGCCTGTAGCTGACAGTAAGATCAGCTGCCGGAATGTTCAATTTTTCGCGTTGGCAAAGTAAAGCTTGATCTGCACCTCGCAAGGTATCAGAGTCCATATCAAAACAACCCGAGATGGCTACCATCCTTCCCGATCACCACCACATCACGTCAAGCAGTGTAGAGCGCACGAGAGGGCGCGGGACGAAGGTTAGAGGCCGAGGGCGTGGAAGTGGGGGTGGTCGTGGCGGTCACGGTTGCCGTCGTGGTTGTGGTAGAACAAGAAGAACTTTTCAAGATGGTCGGGATCCGACAAGAGGGTGGCGCATTTCTAACATCGCAACGGAGCTCTTAATATATTCTCAATCGTCGGAAACAGCGGATGCCGCATGTAGAGAAGAAATAGATGATGTATCGGACGCTGAAGTGAGAAAACTGTGTACTCTCGCGCAAGGAGAAAACGGAAGCGCTTGCTGTTTTTTAACGGAGCAGATGGGAAGCGATTGCGACTCAGCATCAAGAATCATGTTGTGAAACAGCAAAAAAATCAACAATATTGCGCATTATGCGGAATAAGGGGAATTGAGGGCAATGATTCAGGGTGGAGGGGACACAGAACGACGTACAAATGCGTTCAATGCGATGTATTTGTATGTACAAGAATCTATCCCGGAAATCGCAAGAGCTGCTGTGAACTCTGTCACTCGGCCCGTGTTTTAAAGCCGAGTTGCACTCCTCGACCTGCCCGGGCATCAACGCAGCCAGACCCCAATGATCAGGACGATGACGAGGGATTTGAGGAAGAGGATTCTCATTTGAGGACAAGGGTTAGGGACGAAATTGCACGTACGATGCCGAGACGTTCAAAGAGAAGGAAAACTATGTAGCAATTGTAGTGCGCAAGATGCGACGTGGCCCGATATTAAATAAAAACTTTCAATTTTGGTTGGTACTATATATGGATCCTACAGCAAAAAGGAAGGACGAAGACGTGAAGAAACCCAATGAAAGGTGAGATTGGAATGGGGAATTGCAACCTCTTCCACTCGACTCGCTGCCCACGATTGCGGAGAGTGGAGCAGAACTAATGACTTTCTGGAAGATGGCAGCTTAAATAGGCACAGAAGCGATGATATGGGTCACCAAAAGTTTGGTCCCATATATGGAACCATAGAATCGAATACTAGGGATATCCATAATGTGATGTTTTAATGTACGGTACACCGTACATTAACTTTGGGGCGTCGAAAGTACGTCCGTTGATTTGCACCTGCCAAACCAATCACATAGAGAGATACCCAACGGCCCGGAGAGTGCGTCTACCGAGTATCAGCGAAGTTGAACAATTACAACCCCCTTTTACATCGCTCGAAAAATTGCTACTTCCGGACCACGATGATGCCAGTAAATTGCGTTATGTACGGTTTACCGTACATACAGGGCTATTCTAACTACTCATTCATAGCTATAATGACAACCGCCTTCTCACAGACCTCGTCCTTTGCCTTTCTGAGTCACTGGAACCTCGTTTCCGTGCTGCACCGCGACGCTGAGACCCGGAATTTTCCTCCAGACAATCAGAGGCTTGGGAAGAACATTCAGACCTTTCCCGAGATACACTTATTCTGGCTTCCGTTTCGCGCCGCTCTAGTCGCTTCTTCGAATGCCACATGTCCCAGCAAGAGCGCCGTGTACCGGGATAGGTTCTGACACACAAATGTGTCTCACAATGCGTACACTTAAAGGAGGAACGATGTCCTCTATATTTGCTATTTCCCTTCACGTTCATCGCACATAAAGCACACCACCTTTCCGAACGAATTTGCCTTTGTCCATGTCCTGGTACGTTCAGCCGTAACTGGATGCCGTCAGGGCTATTAAAATATAGTAAACGGTTTCGTTTCCGATTGCTGGCGAGCGCCCGCAATCGGTTTATCTCACCGTCATTCAGAGCAGCAGGAACTGTCTCTTCTACCATAGAGGAATTCCTCCGTAATTTGTCAGCAAATCTCAACAACTCTGTACACGCTTCCAGACAAAAATCAGAGAGAGATTCCTCATTATTTAGAGCTTGTCGAAAAGCATGGAGACTGTGGAAGCGACAAGGGTCTGCGATAAGGTCACGTCTTTCATTCATTCTGTACGCTATAAATGAATTCACAAACAAAGTCTTCAGTGTTTGTCCCACAACCTTTTGTTCCCACTTGAATGTGGCTGACGGACTACGTAACATGGCACGCGTTTGTGCACCGCCATCTACGCCTCCTTTCGTCTTTGAATAAAAGCTCTGTACACCGTGCTTGAAAAGTTTCAAGGGAACAAAAGGTTGCAGATTCTGGACGCTCGTGTTGATAGCCCTCCATAAATGTAGTCTGGACTTCAATACCCTCTTAGTTTCCGATGCCACAAATGCCGTAAATGGTTCCAGCGGATCAAATGCCCAATTCAGTAACTTATTTCCATTATCCTCTAAAACAGTCCTTGCTTCTTGGATCAATTCTGGAGGTGCCTTGATCAAAGTGCAGGACAGGAGTGCTGCTTCGGAGCAAGAAACGTACAAGACGTAACTGACGCGAAGCACGATTAGCTGCTGTAGCAGCTGCCCAATGTGGCAGTGAGGTATATGTTCTAAAAATGCCTGTGTGCCCATTTCAAGGCATAGAAGGTCTACTGAAGCTTTAGCAACAGCCCTTGAAAGAGTTGAGTCTGCAACGCTCGTCTCAATTTCTACAGTACACACATGTATCGACGGTTCGGGATTATTTGAGGTGTTGAACGCAGTTTGGTTCACATCGATGAGTGCCATGCCATCTGGCGAGCAGGCTAGCCATTCTTTTTCCTTATCCCCAAACATGCCACAGTGATAAACAGCCCTAATGAAATGTTTGGCTCTTAAGGCATTAACAACAGCATTTTCTGTAACCGTACCACGCAGCATCGCTTCCGTAGAACGCGAAGTGCTAAGCCAGCTTGCCGCCAAAAGTTTAAAAGTCTCTGCCACTGTTCTCTCGTTGCATTGTACATCTGCAACACCAAGTCGTGTGAGGATCTCGGAATTATTCATTAACAAAATCCCAGCAACTGTCCCAGTTAATCGGAACTGCCTAAGCACGAACCAGTCCGCACACCTCTGGTCCACGGTTAAAAATACTGTATTGTTTAAGCAGTACAGTTCAATGGTATCTCGACTGTCATTGGAGTTAGTCGGCGGTACCACTAGCTTGCCCTCATTTGTTCTATTCGTAAATAGAACATCAGCCTGCGATAGGGCCCGAGGAACAGCCACCCAACAATTGATTAAATTAGACAAACTTGCTGGCAGAGCGTAAACGAAGCGGAGCGTCTTTGAAAAGTTCTTCGTCCCCCTTTCCCGTATTACTACAGCCGTCACTCGAACATTCAAACCATCATCTTTAAACGTTTTCTGGGCGTACTTGCAAAGACTTCCCATTTGGGGACTGTCGTCAATTAAAAAGGCATTCTCGCGATCATAGATAAAGCGATTATCTGCTGGGCGGGCCTGTTCGATATCATTGTCAAATTCGCTCTGTTCCACGTCATCTTTTGCAGGATCGAATAGCGAGGCTCCAACGAATGGATGACATCTTAACAGATGTTCAGGCATTATAAACATAAAGCCAATGCCTCTCTTGGCAAGACTAGGTATCATACTCATTTCCCATACCCGCGGTCGGCTGTTATCACAAACCCAGATAAAGACTCCTCCCCGCGAGCCTCAACCACTGCGTTGACGAGTTTTTCAACGTTGTTTGTCTGTAACTCTCCGCGACGTCGAAAGCGAACCATAAAGGTAATTCTAAATAAAACATCTGCAATGGCATCCCGGCAGTGCCCCTCTTTGTCGGCTTTCCTCATGCTAATAGTTTTAACCTGGTTGTCACTTGCCCTGGTCCCATAGAGGTCATCATCAAGTGTTGCAAAGGTATACGACGGAGAAAGAAATACTTTGCATGACATACTGTACGCCGCCATCTCAAGCTCTGAGAGTCTGACGGTTTGATCTCCTTGGGAGCACCAAACACTCTCGCCAGTATCGCCACGTCCTGTAGAAGAGAAAGCAAGAATATTTCCGGATAAATAGCGAACTAGAGATAATGATGGTACAGGACAGTCCATCTTATGAAGCAATTCGAGTGTCTTAGAGATGCTGAACCCAGAGCACTGCGATAAAAAGAACACTGCTAAGAAAGAATACATGTCTGCACGGTGAAGTTGACCAAGCCCGCAGTTGTTAATTACAATGCGCTCGTTTGTCCAGAGGTTACATTTTCGCACTAGTTCATCACAGAAAAGAACTTTGTAGCTTGATCGCGAATGCAATAGCTGTCTTACTTGTAGTTCCGTCTTCATTCTTTCGATGGCTGCTCTTGTAAATAGCCGAGCTCTTTCGGAAAGCACGTTCGTAATAAAGTCATGTTCGAGTTTTACAGCTTGGTCTCGAACCGTTTGAATTCTCCATCCCTCCGTGTAGTCGTGTGTTCTCCGCTGTGCCCATGAGCGACTTCCACGTCCCCCTCTGCCCCTTCTCCCGCGAGGGCGACCGCGCGTAGAAGCCTGTCCCCCTTGAGAATGCTCAAGGACAGTGCCTGGTTGTGAGCTCTGTTGTGCGCTTAGAGTGGGCACGTGTGTGTTACCGTCACCAACGGATTGATGCGTTGTGCCTGTGTGGGGAGTGGGTGGTAGAAGAGGAGTGGGTGGTAGAGGGGGAGAAGGTGGTAGAGGATGGAAGTTTTGAAAGATTGAGCCATCTTCGATGCGTGTGACGGGAGGGAGTGGCAGAGGCAAGGGGGTTTGTAGGATTGGGCCGTCACCTCCGTCAAGTGGCTCTAGCGGCGACAATGGCATCATGAGATTGCTGGGGCGCGATTTTGGCTGAGGTTTCAAGGTCTGTCGGACAGATTTCGAGTGGGGAAGGGTGGTTGGTATGTGTTAGGGTCACGAGGAGATTCATTCAGTCAGTATTGAACTTGAACAAAAAATGAACAGGTGGGATGCTCTCCACAGCCCACGCTCCCAGCCTATGCACTTGCAAATAGGAACACTACACTTGTCTATAAGATAGAATGGTTCAAAGAAGGTCTAAAGTGAGCCTATATGTACGGTACACCGTACATAAAGCAATTTCCCAAAAATATGCATTCTCCTTTATGTACGGTACACCGTACATTGGGCGACTCCTGAAATTCTAAAATCGCAAATTGTGTTGACCAAATCGGGATTTTGTGACACACAAACGGCGCGTTGTGCACACACAACGCGCCGTTTTCTCGGACGGGCGACCCCATGCTAGGTTAAATGTGTATCGCACAAATGTCAAAATGTGCGCGCGTACAATCCAAATTTACTGTACACAGAGAAAGCGTCGGCCGCCGCCCGACCGACGAGACCCGACATCTACATCCTACCGAGCATGGCTCTGAATGAGAAGTAGCAATAGAATAGCCATTTGGTCATTCATGGTTCTGACGGTGGCTGCTCGGTGAAAACACTATCATGATTGAGCTTAGCTCACAGCACACACTGTAGATAGAGCTCCGACGGCGTCATCGCCGGCGTCCGGTGCCGTGCTCGTCGTTAGGAACGACCCTGACACACCGTGCTCGTCGTTAGGAACGAGTTCAAAGCATGCGTACAGTAGGGGGACGCACATTATGTGCGTAAGCATTTCCGTGGTAAAACTCATTTTTTGTTCACAAAAAAGAAAAATATGACTCTGACACAAAAAATAATTTCCGGAGGCGCCCATTATTTACATTAGGGATATGAGGCTATGACTGACCTCATATGAGGTCAAATCGCTTATTGTCTAGACACTAGAAATTCCACAGCACTCGCGCAAAGCCCACGTGCGCAGACAATCCCGTTGCCCCGAAACAAGCTGCAATCCGCTGGCATGTAAACCTCACAGTTTCTGCTGCCCCTTGTTTGGCACCTGATGGGACTTCCATACCTCAAAAGAAAAAAGTCGGGGCCGCACCACAGTGACGGCCTCAGCAGTTTACTTCAGATCTAAATGGGAAGGACCTTTTTTTTTGACGTTCCCTACAGTCCACGTCATTCTCGGCAAGGCCCGCGCTACCTGCAGTACACGCATTGCAGATGAGGAAATCCTGGAATCTACAGTGGTTTGCACTGCCTCGTCGCCCAAAACGGAAGTTTTGCTATCATCCGAACGTCTTCCCGTTCCATCCAAAGTCACTTCGCGCCGCGTCGCAAAAATGCATGTAGACACGCTCCGGCGAGATCCCCGCTTTAGCGTCCTGTCCATTTTCAGTCGTAACACAATGGCGCGTAGGAAGGACTGACTTGTCAGAACTATTTAGCTTCCAAAGTCGTGGCTAGCCGCAGTCATCGCTCGATAAGTCGCCAACGGCGGCTCGTTGCTTCACTCATCTGACACGTACCAGAACGTCGCAAATTGCCTCGACAATTCCAGGGTTAACGTCGGGACCCAGCGCACCCAGGCTTGCCAAGTACTTCGCCGGCAATATGACACAATGCGGATCTTTTTGTTAGAATTCATTTCTTCATGGCCCGTGCGGGAATCATTCGATGTCGATGCGTAGAGTAGATACCGTACATACCACGTATGCACAGGGTTCGGCGGAACCCCCGAATATCATTTTAGATGTCTCAAACGAGACCATGACCCATTTTTCTGCCTTGCCCAGAAGTTTGCTGACAGCCGCGGAGCACTCTCGCATAATCTCGTCTTCCGCGTCTCCGCCGAGTGTGCTGACATTAGTTTTAATCACTAGAGTGGGCATTCTGGCGAATAGAAGGTTTGTCAAAAACCGCACTAAACCACAGTGGTGGTGCCCAAGCTAGGGTAGTAGGTAAACGAGATCAATCCCTAGCTGAAATGGAGAAAAAAAAAGAGCTCGATGAGTGAAAAAGAGATCCTTGAATAACATATTTTAGGAGATGATGCACCATGGAATTTCACTTCGGGCAGGGTGTGAGAGTTTTTTTTTTTTTTTGGACATCATTATCTTTCTGAAGTTGCGCGGGGGCATTGCACACGCATCAAACAGGTGCGAAAATTGCACAGAAACCAATGTACGATTTTCTCCTCATAGTGTTGATGAAGATGGTGGAAATGATGATAGAACATACATTTTGAGGCTAGTAACCGCGACATCTCTTCCTAAACGCAGATCTCATCTTAGAAACTGTGTAGCAGACATCTGCGCAGTGCACGGCAAAGGTGAGTTGGGAGCCAGTTGTCGGGCCAACCTTCATATTTTCTCTCTTCAAGGTCAGTAGTGTACGGAAGTGAGTGGATGTACAGGGTCGACGGCATTAGATGCCGACAAAAAATCTACAGTGGGGTTCCTTGTGCTGCTCTCCGGCGCAATCAGCCAAACAAAAAGGTATTGCTCTAACCTTGGGATATTGACTCCACGTTGAACATTATTACTTGAGCCGTGCTGCGATGATTTGTAGCCTAGCACAATTCAGTAGCCTCGTGGATGAGTCAAGAACATCCCTTGAATCATCGTGCAGCACAGCTTTATTGTGAAAAAAGGATTTGAGAGAAGCTAAATTGCTAGTGTCTAGGTGACAAATGACCTCATATGAGGTCACTTTTCAACTTATTTTTCTCGACTTGTGCTAGCTCAACAAGCTGGAAAAAAGATACTCTCGACACGGCAGTTGACTTCTGCGTTGTGGAAGGGTGGAGTTTGGTGAGATCTGCATGTCTTCTCCAGCCATTTTTAAAATGCCCAAAAAGGAGCCTTTTTTGACCAACCTCAAAACGTTTTATGTTGATATCTTCGAAACCAAAACGCCTGTTTAAAAAGTCAACTCATTAGATTCTTAGTCTCTCTGTGCATTGACAACCGCCATCCCAATGTTTTGCAAGATGTTATTGCCGAGCGCATATACGTTAAAGAAATGGTGTCCAAATTGAATGTTTTAAAGTTTCGATTTAATTTATATATTTTTGCAAAAAAAAAGCTGGCCTCATATGAGGTCAAATTGCTTGTCGTCTAGACACTAGCCCTGGCTAAGATGCCTCGGCCCGCGCTGGCGATAGACTGAGATGGTGCGAGATGAGAGATGTGCTCAGTTTCAAATAAAAACCAGAGCGAAAAATGTCGCCCCCAAAAACGTAAAAGCACACGCTCTCGTCCACTCGTTATGAGAGACGGGCCATGACTCACAGGGCAAATCTCTCATGCTATGTGCACGATTGTTCTATGACTTTCCACAACCAAAGTTTTGGATGCTCTCTGGAAATTTGATGTATTCAAACAGAAGAAGTGAGTTCTGGTCCGCGTCCACTTTTGCGCGCATCCTCTAAGCAACCTGATGCACTCTTATTCGTGAACCTAATGCCAGTCTCGAAGCACTGACACTGTATTTTCTATGACAAATCGATGAAGGGCAGCGTCACTTAGACACGTATTGCTTCGTAGATGTAGGGTTTGCTTCACGGTGCCTCGTCGAGAATCACTCGGGAAAAGCCCCCAGGAGTCAGAGGGTTTGTTCTCCAACCCGGGCCCGCCGCGTTTATCATTCTGTGGGAATAAAGGCATGCGCCGCCGGCCCACAAGAACTTCGAAAGCAACTGCTGGACCTGGTGGATAGCTTTGGACGGCTTGGCGGAAAGAACCAATCGGCTGTTGATGACATAGAAGACGCTCTGAGCGCGCTGTTGAGCTCGCGCGGCAGCGACAGCTCTTCCAGCCTGCTGGCGAATGACCTTGACCCAAGCCTCACAGCCGGATGGGAAGAGCGCTTGGAGGGCCGTTGGAATCTACGCTACTCGACAGAGGGGCCGCTTCTGCAGTTGATGACGAATCAAGCATTGCCGTTCTTATCGACGGGGCAAGTGTATCAGCTGTTTCGCGGAGATGGCACACTGCAGGTAGGTTGTCAGAGCTTGATGAGAGTCAAGGTTGACCAGAAGTGGCGTGCGATTACTGACTTTTCGTGTGATTGCAGAACGTGGTCGAGTTTGATCGTGGTGAGACAAGCAAGACTGTGCCGGCCGTTCTGAGCGTCGGCGTCGACTATGTCGCTAGCGAGGAAGAGCGGCGATGCGATTTTCAATTCAAAAGGACCAAGGTCATGGTAGGGCAGAGTGCTATGGATAGCATTAGCATGGCGAGGGGGACGCGTGAAGATCAGAGTCCAAAAGTAAGGTACAATCTGGATGTGGATTTCCCATTTGCTGTCGGGAAAGGCTATTTCCACGTCGTTTGGCTGGACCAAGCACTGCGGGTCGACAGAGACACGAGTAATGGCAAGAACTGGTTGAACATCTACGTGTATGGGGGGCCTACGGAGAGGTGCACGGCCGTGTAATGGAGAGGGCGCATATGAGATGCTGGGGGGATTGTGGCGGTACCGGTGCAAGATTCTGAAATGGTGTCCAATACTGTATGATCGGGAGAGGATGAAGCGTGACGGGATTGCTATCCTGTAGCATGGGGGTGCGCACAGTTTTTGAACGCTAGCCGAGAGAAATGATGATGCACCGCAGATGCACCGCAGATGCTTCCATCGGAAGACGCTTAGTGTGTTGCTAATGGCGGCAGGTTTGGATAGGAGAACAAGGTTTGTCGTTTTTTTCTTTCAGTCTCTCGGGCGACGACCTTCCACTGTGCCGTAATGCTAACAAGTCGCAGAAGTATCTTTTTCTTGTAAGGGGAATGCGTTCCAGCAGCGGCGGGATGGTGCGAGGCGAGGATGTCGACAAGACGCGCCGATCAAGACAGACGTGTAAACGTGAACAAGAGGCGGGTGGCAACTGGGCCAGAGGCGAAAGCAGCGGAACCGCCACAAATAGAATAATTTATCATAAATCGCCAATGACACGTCGCCAATTCCACGACCGTGGGATCACGTCTGAGCTCTGAGACGCTCTGAGACGCTCTGAGAGCGCCAACTTCGTCCTCTCTCCCTTCACACTCTCATGTCGATGGGCACGCCCCGTCGCATGTCGCCGCATACATTCTCGCGTGTAACCGCCCGAACGACGCACAACGCTACAACCATCCTCCTCCTTTTCGGCCTCCCCACCGCTCTCCTTCCCTCCAAGGCGCGTCAGCACCATGTCTACCGCCCCCGCCGCTCCGAGCGCTAAGCCGGCAGCGGCCTCGCATGGCGCGCTCCCGTTCATCCGAGGCGGGCTCGCCGGGGTGCTATCGTGGCTAGTGATCCACCCAGCGGACGTGGTGAAGGTGCGGATGCAGCTCTCCAGCGACGGGCGCGGCACTCCGTACCGCGGGGTGGTGCACGCGGTGCAGACGATATCTCAGAAGGAGGGCGTGTCTGCGATGTACTCGGGGCTTTCGGCGGCGCTAACACGGCAGGTGACGTATACGACGATGCGGCTCGGGCTGTACGCGACGCTGCGCGAGAGGGCGGCGGACGAGGATGGAACGGTGTCCATGGGGACAAAGTTCGCGGTGGGGACGGCGGCGGGCGGTATCGCCAGCGCGATTTCCACGCCCGTCGAGGTGGCTATGGTGCGGATGTACTCGGACGGGGCGGCGCCGGTGGCGCAGCGGAGGGGGTACAAACATATTGCCGACGCGCTGTTTAGGATTGCGCGCGAGGAAGGGGTTCTGGGATTGTGGGCTGGGGCGAGCCCGACGATTGTGCGGAGCATGGTGGCGAACTGCGTGCAGCTGGGGACGTACGACCAGGCAAAGGAGTTTTACATGGGGAGCGGGTGGATGCGGGAGGGGGTGGGGTTGCATGTGGCGGCGTCGACGACGAGCGGGTTTATGTACTCGCTGGCGACGCTGCCGATCGACTCGGCCAAGACGAGGATGCAGAACCAGCGGGGGATGGAGGGCGGCGGGAGGAAGTACAGAAGCTTGGGGCAGACGATGGCGGTGGTGGCCAGGGAGGAGGGGGTCGTGTCCCTGTGGAGAGGGTTCTTGCCGTACTTTTCGCGGTGCGCAGGTAAGTGGGGTGCAAACTTTTTTTTCGCGGCGCGGAGATGGAGAGGCAGTTGCTGACTTTGGTGTTTCTTTGTGTTTGCGCAGGTCACACGGTCGCGATGTTCCTGGTGCTGGAGCAAGTCAAGAAAGTGCTCTAGCACGGTGCAACGAACCTGAGGTCCTTTGCGCGCGTCGCGCTGGTCCAATGACCAGGTGGCACGTTCCATCTTGCACACGTGTACACGAGCTTTGTGTGGGACCCATCAACGAAATAAAGACACGCGTGTGTGTGTTGCTCAAATGAAAGAAGATGATGAAAGTCCCGCGAGGGATCGGCGGCGAAGGGTACCAGCGAGGAAACGAGAGTGATGGCGGGGCCGAAAGGCGAAGCACAGCAATATACTGTACCCACGGTACCCTTCGAAGGGTAATCGCGCCAAAACGCCTGTTTAAAGTGTCAACCAAGTAAAGGGGGGGGGGTGCTCAAACTTTCGGACACGGTCATGAAGTTCGGACATGCAAATTATTTGGAATTTTTTTAATCTATTGGGCCATAGTGGTGTGTTTCTTGGAATAGACACTTCAAACCTGCAAACAGCGCCCAACGCCGTGGATAAAACTAAAAACTAATCAACGCAATGGATAGCCGCACGAGAGATACACGTATACACGGTCTTCGATGGTAAAAAGGGCGGCACTTTTGAAACAAAAACCGCCTCCCAACACGACCAGCCCCCCCAAAAAATGACCGCTCTAAAGCATCGTGTCCGAAACACTGCTATCGATTCCATCGCCCTGACTCCGTCGTACACAAACCGCAGGCATTCTCATTCCGCAACACAAAGATGGCACCGACAAAGTCTCGTGAGAAAAAATCCAACAGGCAATCCAACTCGTTCAAGACGGCGAAACATATCGATTTGCCTCTGCAGTAACGAAAATACCCTGCTCCACTCTCTCCAGCCGTATTTTGTCACATCTCGCAGCTGGGCAACGAGCACGCACTGTTCGATTTCGACTAGACAGCCTTACTACTATTGAAGAAGAGATTGCTGTAACGATTCTAATTCAATATGCTGAACGTGGGCTCCGTCTGCGTCGCCCTCTCTTTAAAGAGGCCATTTCGATCGTAGTATTTCGCAAGTCGCCAGTTCGTCGCCGCATCTTAAAATTTAAGAACAAAAAGCCCGGGGACAGGTATCTGCGCAATTTTGGGCGCCGTCACAGTCACAAGATCAAGTTTGTGAAGCCATAACGCCAAGAGGGAGTCAGATTTCAAGCATGCAACGCTGATGGATTAACGACCCACTTTAGCACAATCGAGAAAATCATTTTCGAGAATGATATTGATGCTTCGAGAATATGGAACTGTGACGAAATAAGGGTGACTCCTAACCCAGACGAAAATGGCAACGGGAGTAGTCGTGCCTATGTGACACGCGGCAGCACTGCAGATGCGAAAAATGGTAACTTATTTAATACGCACCGTGTAATTATGCTACCGTCTATCAGAGCCGCAAGGAAAACTGCCTCTCCGCTGTTTGTGTTCGAGGGAGTCCGCGTCCCGCATCGGGTTTTGGAGAGAAATGGAAAAAGGGTGGTGCCAACTTTTTCAGATGTTTTGCCTAGGGGCGCTATTTTTTCAATGCAGGAAGAAGGCGGCGCCGTTGACAGCAAAAACTTTTTTTTGTGGGCAACACACTTTGTTCCCCACATTTCAGACCTTACTACAAATAACCGTAAGGTACTTCTTCTTCTAGACGGTTATCGATCCCATATGTCACTGGCTACTGTAGAAGTGCTGAGTACAAACAATGTCGTAGTTTACGCACTTCCGGCCCATACATCAGGCAAAACCCAGCCCCTAGATGTGACGGTGTTCTCGCTGTTTAAAAATGCCATGAACGAGGCTGTGAACTTGTCTGTGCCAGGCACGAAGTCTAACGATTGGGACACATACACATTCGCCAGCATTTTAGCTTTGCGTACACAAAAGCGTGTACAGCACATAATATCAAAATTGGTTTTCGTCGTGCAGGTCTATGGCCGTTTGACGCTAGCCAGCTGGTTTCTGTTCCCCGCCCTCGAAGTGCTCAAGAGCCGGAACGCATCATGTCGGTTGAAGAATTGGAATCATTATTGGAAGAGAAGAGGGAACAACTTAGGCGTACTGTATGAGGGGATGAGGCCATATTGGCCGATTCTAGAATTATAGACACTACCAAGGGTGCTGTGCTAACTTCTGTGCGTGCTCTTGAACTGGCGTGCAATAAGTTCAAGGCTGAGAAATCCAGAAAACTTTCTGAGCAAGTTAAAGCTGCGGAGAAAGAGGGCAGGGCAGCGATACGAGAGAGGAAGCAACAGGCAGATGCTGAAATATTTCATCGTTATCGATGGGAGAAGCGCGCTGCGCTTGCAGGCGTTACTGTCGCTCAGCTGAAGCAGCCGGCACGTTCGATGAGAGTCAGGCGAGCTGAAGCACGACGCAAAACGTTGATGAAGAAAGAGTTACGAATGAGTCTCGCTGCGCGTTGTTTACCGGTCTGCCATATCTGATGTGACGTGGCAGTCAAAAATATCTGTCAGAAAATAAATGATTTTCAATGAGTGCGCCGTGAATGTCCGATCTTTCCAGCCGTTTTGAGACTGAATTGTCTCAGTTGGGGAACGCCACGTAGATCTTTGCTAGCTGTGCACTGCATCCGTGCAATTATATCGCTTCTGGGTAGGTTTCAGTAACAGTGCCAGCCCCGAGCTGGCGAAAAAAGCACCTTTGTTTGACAACTGGAAGTTTTTTTATTCTTGTGACATTTGTCCGAAATGGTGAGCGCCCCCCCCCCCCCCCCCTTTATTGAAACTTGGTTGGATTCTGTGGTAAAAGGGAGTGCCCCCTGGCCAGGAGACAGGTGGAGAGGGATGTGCACAGTGTACACTAGACCTTTGTCTCAGTTACAGACGTACAGCGAAGTACCCTGAAGGGTACCCGGCGGCTGCGGGGGCGATTTATGTTACTGTACCCGGACCGAGGATGCCGTTAGCTGCTCCCTCCGTCTACTGTAATCCAGATTTCGCGATGGCAAACAGTCACTGCCACGTTCCAGATCCCACACGTGTACACGTAGAACGAGGAGCATTTACAGGGGGTCTCCTCAATAGTTCGCTTTGCAATAGTGCACATGGCCAAAAGTGCACCCCTTTCAGGGATGTCGCAACTCTTGCCACGTGTACACCTGTACACGTCGAGCCATGCCGATGTAGATGCACACCGCTGTGCTGCAGTTGACGACCACGACCGGACACCCCTGATACGGTACACATAGCACAAGTAAGCCTACGTGTAGAGCACCGCCGCCGTGCACCTTATGTGCACATCGTCAGGTCTCGCGACTAGCAGTAAACGGACTATCGTCTCTGCGTATCAGGTTATGGTCCTACCCCGCGCACTCCGCCACGATCAATATTGAACCCCTTTCCCAACCCCCCGGCGCAGCACCCGAAATCGGCGCGCGCCCAGCCACCTCGAGTACAACGGCCACTCTACACCGGTGCGTCGAGAACCCCACTCCGCTCAGGCCCCCACGCGTCGAGATCCAACCTCCGCGAACCACATGGCAACTCTGCCTGAACAACACGCCACCGAACACTCCATTCCAGACCTCAGCACGAACGGTGCCAATCTCCACATCTGGCTGATGTCCTTAACCGACTTCATCGACGTCCACGCCTTCCCGGACTTCCTCTCCGCCACTTACACCCCTCCAGACCCTTCCTCCGACGATTACGCCGCCTACCGTCAACAAAGGGGCCTCGTCCGCCTAGCAATCATGAAGAGTCTCCCTTCAACAATCTCCGCCAAACTCCAAATCAACACAGACTCTCCCCGTACGACCTCGTTGCGTCCATTAAGACCATATCCTCCTCATCGACGATAATGGACCACCACATCCTCCGCCAACAAGCGGAAGCCATCAGACTCACTCACGAGATCTCCGTCAGCGAATACATCACCCAACACCGCACCCTCCGCAACAAAATGAAGAACGCACAATACCCGGAAATCAACGATGAGGCTACCACCGTCAAGTTTATTGCCGAGGGCTTGTCCGTGCACAGCCGCTTCAAGCACCTTCCTACCCAGTGGATCGAAAACGACAACATTCCACCTTCCGTCGCCCAAATTGAACGTCGTCTCGAGGCCATTGAAGCTCGTCACAAAATCTCCTCAAAAGACGAGGATTACTCCACTCCCCAGGGCCTCACACAGACCAAGCCACGCGGGCAAGGCCGTGGAGGTCGCGGTCGAGGCCACAGAGGAGGACACCGCGGCCGCTACTACCCCCCTCCGCAATTCCCGTACCAAGCGCCCGTCGCCCCGTACCAAATACCTGCCAGCTATCAGCCGCCTGGCTACCCCTACCCGGGACCGGCAGCCCCACCCTACCCCGCCTCTTATCCAGCGTACGGGCAATGGCCACAGGCCCCCTACGCCACCCCGCAGCAGCCGTCGGGCTCCAGCACCAAACGTAGGTCGTCCGGTCGGGCTCCTCTTTGCCGCGCTATGCAGGCCAACACAGCCCTTGAAGCCCTCGAACAACAGCTCATAGCCGACGACGACGATTCCGCCTCCGCCGACAACGACAGTACGTTTATTCTTGATTCTGGTGCCCACCCCACACACGTCTACCGACCTACCGCAAACATGCTGCCTCTCACGACACCCATCCCCCCCCAAACCGCTACTGACTCCAAATCATCCTCCACGCATCATGGAACGTTGCAGCTGGTGACCAACCGGAAGGTTAAACTCGCCCTCCCCGCGCTTTCAAACCCATCCGTCACCCACAACTTGGTATCAGTGCACGACCTCGCACGCACTGCCGGAATGGTTGCATTTACAGCACAGAACGCATACATCGTCAACACGAAACAGCCCTCAGTAAACCCCATCGTTGGAACCGCCACCTTCAAAGGAGGCCTTTACATTCTCGACCGTCCATCCAAAACCGCACAAGCTCGCTCCGCTCGGACCGTCGGCGATCACCAAACTGTACCCGCACGCCCATCTGAACCACAACCGGCCCTCCCCGCATCCCGTACAGATCAAGCTGCTCCCCCCCAACCTCAGCCACGCCGCCGGAAACCGCTTAAACGCACACCAATCCCGACCCTCCAAGTCCCGCCCCAACTTGTGCGACCAATCCTACACAGCTTACACAACCCTATCGGGACCCTACCCCCCCTACCACCCACACAGCAGGACCTCGAGCACCATCACTACCACATGGTCTTCAACCACGCCCAAACCC